ACATAGTGTGAGTACCGTGAACTTTTTCTGGAGTTGTTTCCTTGGCGGTATTCTAGACTCGAGTATGCATCAACGAGGATGTCGATCTTCCTGTAGGCGACTAAAATTTTCCATTCTACTTTAGTCACTTAACCACACCTCTGACCACTTGGAGGAGTCTCATTCACAACCTCCATAAGTCCAATCCAGGACTTGGGACTTGCTAGCCCCGAGAATGGCATCCATGCCACTCAACATTTGCACTTGGTCCAAGTGCTCCACGTGTCCGATCCCATGACCGACACTCAAAGGTGCCACCGACATAGCAGCCCGTTACGCTAAGGCCATGCCCAATCACCTTTGCCACACTGGTAGTCCAATACCACTTGCATCACAGTCTTGGCTCTCCAAGACTAGGCAAACCATCCCTGAGTGGTCATCTCAGATCCACTCTTTAGCATCCTTAGGATGCCCACTGACAAGGGGAATAGCCTTCCCCAATATCCCTCTGTCAGTCCCCACTAAGTCCCTTTCTGCCCCTGGTCGTGTTTGCCAACACTGCCACTAGATCGAGACCCACAGGCCCGACCACTAAGTCCCACAGTCCTCTGGGACTTCCTCACCACACGATTGTGTCCTTGGTCACTACCCCAGAGGACTGCTCCTCTTCCTTTCCACAGTCTGGGCCTTTGGGACAACATTTCGGAACACCGTGGCCTTACGCGAGCCACCTGGGTACTCTCCTCGCCTTCTGCCCTTGGGTGCTCTAGCCATGGGCTTAGAGTGGGTTCCGTTGAGCCACACCAGGTATCCAAGTAGGTAGTGCCACCCACACTTGGATTGGGAGCATCGGCCAGTCGATCTCCCGGGGGAACTAGAGCCGGCTCTTGAACACTTCACCAAGCTACCCCGCTTGTCGATCTGTGTTCACTCTAGTCTTGGACTTCCCAGTGGGCAGCTCATCACCCAACACTGGGTCTGGCCTTCCTGGGCCAAACTAGCCTTTCCTGGCCAAACTGGCTCGGTCTCGGCCTAGGCCTCGGTCTCATTCTCGGTCTCGATCTCGGTCTCGGTCTCGGTCTCGGTCCCGGTCTCGGTCTCGACTTCGGACTCCATTTCGGACTCCATCTCGGACTCCATCTCGGACTCCATCTCGGACTCCATCTCGGACTCCATCTCGGGTCCATCTCAGACTCCATTTCGGGTCCATCTCGGACTCCATCTCGGGTCCATCTCGGACTCCATCTCGGACTCCATTTCGGGTCCATCTCGGGTCCACCTCAGACTCCATTTCGGACTCCATTTCGGGTCCATCTCGGGTCCATCTCGGACTCCACTTCAGACTCCAACTCGGGTCCATCTCGGACTCCACTTCGGACTCCAACTCGAGTCCATCTCGGACTCCACTTCGGACTCCAACTCGAGTCCATCTTGGACACTTCCACGTGTCATGTGTTGGTCCTTTTGGGTCCCTTTTTGGAGCCTCGCTTTTTGCTCGCTTCGTGCTCGTTCCTCGAGCACTTTGTTGGGAGTTCCACTCCTGCTCTTGACATTTCAAGTCGGAGCTTTTGGTCCAAACGTGTTACGCTTGTTTGGCTCTCGCTTCAGCCACTACCACGTGGCACCCTTTCCGGCTCCACTTTGGGGCCTAGGGATTTTGTGTCTCACACTTCCCTAGGGGGGGAGAGTGTCGCGAATGTGACTTCAGGTATCGAAAGTTACTTGTCGGCCAGTCCTTATGGACACTCTTACCTTACTGCCACAATGGCAGGAGGTCGGTATTGCTGGACCCGTTATCAGTCTCCGCCTAAGCTAGTTGAGAAACTGGTCCTCGCGTGTGCACTTGACCAGATGAGCATAAGGAAGGAATTCCTAAGTGTCTATTTAGTCAAGCATACTTGACCTGGTTAGAGAAACTCATTCGTTGGCTTACACTTGCTAGTGTTGGGAACCCCCGTGATATTGAGCTTGGTCCCTCAATATTCGCTAGATGATAGCTTACCGTGTCTGCCAAACACCCTCGCTATCATGCCCTTTGTGTTAGTCTCAATTTGTCCTAGATGCTATTTATGGAAAGTGTCCAGATTTGCTCATTTGGCATATCTACAGAATGTAGAGATCGTCCTGAACACAATGGTGTTCATCCCATGTCCAAATTCGCAATCTAGAGACATTCCATATTTAGTAAGTTTTGAGCTTGTCCTAGAGACTAACTCCTGATACTAAGGGAGGCTTGGGGTGAAAGCCCAAAGCGTGTGTTCCTCAAGGGGGGGGGGGCTATGGGGGGTTCCAAATGTATAGTAGGGATAGTGGGTAGGTCGGGCATGACCGACCAACCTGAGGCATAGTCTAGCTCCCGCTTGCATGCCTGTCCTTGTTCTGCGTCCGGCTTGGGTCTAAGCCCAAGTTCCATTCCATGCTAGCTGGTGGAGTACCCATATCCTCATGTTAGGCCACCGGTATGCCGAAATAGCGCCAGACTCCGTTTGGCTCCGTTTTGCATGCTGGTCCTGGCATTGGGATGCTAGTTGCTCCAGGGCTGTTCCAAGTCGCTCCGAGCTCCTGTCCCTTCACTCCTTGAGCTATATGCTCGGGAGTTGCTCCATGGTTCGGTTCTATCACTTCTTGGCGTCACGTTTGGGAGTTTGGCACCGTTCCTTCGTTCAGTGGCCCAAGGCCCTGAACCTCGGGTTCCTATGGACACGTGGCATAGACACGTGATATGTGACACGTGGCATCTGTCACGTGGCATAAAGAGGGTTTAGGTTCCGCTTCGTGGTGTTATCCTATGGTAAATCACCATAGGATAAAGGGTCAAAACCACGTGCGCTACATTGTACCACTTATGTATTATTCTTCTTCATAAAAGAGGAGTGACATCCTTTGACAATATTAAAACAATTAATGATGTAACTTACCAAAGCTTTCAACAAGCTGCTGTTGCTATGGGTCTTCTTGATGATGATAATGAGTGGTATAATTGTTTACAAAAGGCATGCAATTTTCAGATGCCTACACAATTGTGTCAACTTTTTACTTTCATATATATTTTTTGCAATCCACAAAACCCACCATATCTTTGGGATATTTTTAAGGATCAGCTCTCTGAAGATTTTGGTAGAACAAATATTGTATACAGATATAAACTTGCTCTAATAGACATTAACTCAAGAATGAAAATACATAGTAAAACAAACCAATCATACAATTTACCTATCCCAATCCTAAATACCTCTATTCAACCAATACCAAATTGCAACCATTTATATACAGAAATTTACCATTATATTAGAAACTTGAATGTTGAACAATTAGCTATATTCAATGAAATTGTTAATATTGTCGAGTGCCCAACTGATACCAACCGTTTTATTTTTATTGATGGCCCTGGTGGTACTAACAAAACATATTTATTAAATACAATAGTAAAATATTTTGAGTTCTACAATAAAAAAGTGGTTTGTATGGCATGGACAAGCATTGCAAGCACATTACTACACAATGGATAAACATCCCATACAACCTTTAAGTTACCAGTTCCAATTAATGATACATTTGTTTCTGGTTTAACACCTAATAACAATGTTGGGAGATTTATGAAAGTAATACAAGTGTTTATTTGGGATGAAATTAGTATAGTTCATACACTTGCCTTTTCAGCTATCGACCGCTACCTACAAGACTTAAAATAAAACAATTCTCCATTCCGTGGCATTGTTATTGTTACAAGTGGTGACTTCAGTCAAACATTACCAGTTATCCCACACAGTTATCGAGCACAGATTGTTTCCACATCTGTAAGAATGAATAGTCTATGGAATCTATTTAGAAAGTTTCAATTACAAACAAATATGCGACTTGGCCCCAAGTTCCCAAACTGGGCAAAATGGCTATTGAAAGTCGATGATGGAAATAATTACACACAAAACCCTATTTTACCACTTGATTCTATCCTTCTTCCTTCAGAACTAATTAGAAGTACCTCTATTACTAATTTCGTATTCCCATGTATCAAAAATATTTCAAATGTTCAAATTGCAGAAAATAGAGCCATTTTAACACCTCTCAATGATGATACATTTCCAATTAACAACAACATCATCTCTCAATTACCAGGTCCACCTCAAATTTATACTAGCATTGACTTTGTTAATGTTGAACACCTTGAAAATTTCCCAATTGAATTTCTAAACTCTATCACTCCCTCTGGACTACCACCACATAAATTGATACTAAAAGAAGGTTGTATAGTTATTTTTCTGAGAAATATATCTCTAACAATTGAATTATGCAATGGAACTTGACTAATGGTCAAAAGAACTTCACCTAAAGTTTTGGACTATGAAATAATTACAGGTGAATTTAAAGGTACTAGAACTTTTATCCCATGCATTAACTTAACACCCTCTGATTCAAATGTTTCATTCCATATGTGTCGAAAACAATTTCCTCTTCGTCTTAGATACTGTTTAACAATTTCAAAATACCAAGGTCAAACATTTGATCGTGTAGGCATCTACTTACCCTAGCTAGTCTTTACCTATGGGCAGCTCTATGTTGCACTCTCAAGATGCACATCACTACAACAACTTGCAATTCGAGATGACACCACTCATACACAAGGCCACTTAATTCCATTTAATTCATCAACATTCACCATCAATACTGTATATAAAGAAGCTTTATATTAACTAACTCCTGTCCTACTACACCTTAAAACATAAAAACAAACTACAATAAACTTTGTTTATTTTTTAATTTTCCCTGTGGCCCAATGAATAGCAATGGACTGGTGCTAAAAATAAAGGAATCATCTCACAAGGAAATTGTGAGATGTGAGCAAATTCTCACAAAAATATGTTAGTAAGTTTGAGAGGCTTTGCCAACTACCCAGCATTGGCTGAGCAAATACTAGTATATATATATAGCAAGACTATAAAACAAAATGCCAAGCTATTACTCATTTCATTCATTATTTGTTTATAAAGTTTTGTCAAAAAGCATGAGATCAACAAATTATAGTAAGTTTTTTTTATAAGCCTTCTGTTTATAAAGTTTTGTCAAAAAGCATGAGACCAACAAATTATAATAAGTGTTTTTTATAAGCCTTCTGTCCCCGCCCTAGGCTTCACCGATCTGCCTGCTGCCCCTCCTGTTGCATCTTGGATTGGAACCTCAATGCCTAATATAAAGCATCACAAATAACTTGATCAACCTATGAAATGATAAGTCATTTTAAATCTTTTGAAAGAATCTCCCGTCACCAAAAGTTCCCACACGAGCATTCCCCGTTGAAGAAGCTGTGAAATCTAGTCGCGTCCCTGCACACTATCCGCCTCTTCTCGATCCTAGAAATAATTTTTGTTGCCTCGTGACAATCATCGCAAACCCGGAGGTTCTTCATGATCCGGAGTGTCGTGCCAGGAGCAGTGTTGAGTAGAGCACAAGCTATGGCCAACCTCTCGCTATGGCCACACAAGTTCTCTTCCTTCTCGGCCTCTGGAACCTTTCGCCCCACACTTCCCACGTCTGCTACGTACCCGTGCTCCTTCATCGTTGCCACTATTAACTTTAGCCTCGCGTTGATCTCTTCGCTCTGTGGATGGCTCGTATCACCCACGATGAAGCTGTGAACTCTTCCCAGATCGTCCGTCCACCAGCTTCGTCCCGCTGGTTTCTTCCATGCCCGAGCCTCCACTCGCATCATCTCGATCCTAGCCTGCTCCTCCCACATCCCTCGGCTTCCATAGATCGTCTCCATGAGCACGTACGCCCCAGCTTCTCTCTCGTCGATCTTCACCAGAGCTTCAAAGGCAATCCGTCCGACTTCGGAGTTCTTCCACTTCTTGCAAGCACCCAACAGGATCATCCACGTCAAGTAGACCGGCTGGAAAGGCATAGTTTCCACCAGTCTCAGAGCAGCTTCTAGCTCGCTGGCCCTTCCCAGCATATCCACCATGCAGTGGTAGTGCTCTAGTGTGTGCTCAATGCTGAATCTGCCTTTCATAGCTTGGAAGTACTTCTTGCCTTTGGATACCAAACCAGCGTGGCTGCAAGCGTAGAGAATGCAGCCTAGAGTGATTCTGTTCCCTCTCACTTCTTCTTGTTGCATCCGTTCGAAAGAACTAAAAGTCAGTCTTGTTTCCCCTAGATGACTGTAGCCAGCTATGAGAGCAGTCCAAGTTATGCAGCCCGGAGAGAGAACCGAATCGAAAACTTGCTGTGAGTCCACCATGCTGCCACATTTCCCGTAGAAATCCACCAGGCAGTTCGTAAGAACCTTGTCTTTCTCTAGGCCAGACCTGAGGATGCTACCGTGAATTGCCTTTCCAACTCGTAGAGCCGCAACAGAGCCACAAGCTTTGAGTACCTCTGAAAAAGTGAGAGCGTTTGGTTCGCAGCCTTGGAGCTTCATTCGAGTAAACAAGTCCAGAGCTGCCTCTGCTTCCCCGTTGTCAGCAAAACCGAGCATCAAGGCGTTGCATAGCACGGCGTCAAAACGCGAGGCCGTCCCGTCAAAGACGCGCTTGGCATCGACTAAACTCCCGCAGTTTGTGTACATGTCCACCAGGGCGCTTGCCACGAAAACATTAGAGCAGTCGATCCCTCGCTTTGCTGCTTGAGAGTGAACTGTGAAGCCTTTGGCCAGAGCGTCAACCTTCACCAGCCTTGGCTTCCCGCAAAGGAAAAACTCCCTGCCGTCTTCTTCCACAGCCAAAGCACTGCAGGCCTTCAAAGCAGCGACGAAAGTTCGAGCATCAGGTTGACAGCCTTCAGCTTTCATCTGAGCCATCAACTGTAGTGAAAAGTTTCCATCCCCGTTCACCGCATAGCCAAGTATCAAAGCGTTCCACAGAACCACGTCGTGATACGGCATTCTGTCGAAAACCAGCTGAGCGTCTTCCATACTCCCACAGTTCGAGTACATGTCCACCAGAGCACTCGCCACAAAGATGTGGGACTCGCAGCTGCTCTTGGACGCTTCACAATGAACTGCAAAGCCTTTCTCCAGAGACTCTACCTTCACAACCTGCTTAGATAATTCCCGGCCTTCTTCTTTTGCTGCCAAGTTCGTGCAAGCCTTCACTACAGCAACGTATGTTCGCGTCTCTGCTGCGTAGCCTTCTCGTAGCAACCGAGAAAATAACTCCAAAGCCAGCTCCGCTTCACCAGTTTCTGCATACCCCAGTAGCAAAGGATTCCAGGACGCTAAACTACGAGAGCCTATCCTGTCGAAGACCCTTCGAGCTTCCGCTAGGCTTCCACATTTGGCATACATACTGACCAGTGTATTTGCTATGTAGATGTTTGAGTCATCCCCGTTGTCACTAATATCAGCGTGGACCAATCTCCCCCTGTGTAAGTCCCTGGAGCGACTGCATTCTTTGAGTTCTGCAAGCCAAATGGATGTCCTCCTCCGTTCATCAGAACAATTTCGCACGGATTCTATGTAGGAAAACCTTTCAGCTGGTTGCAAGCAATGCATTAGAGAGATAGCAATGCATACTTCTTCCTGACCTCGAAAACGCTGTCCACCCGTTTCCCGAAGACCTAGGAGTTTTTAAAAGTATCAAGATGTATTACAGGAGGAAGCATAAACTAACAACGAGTACGACTGGTGCTGCATAAAGAAGAGCAAATCAAGTTAGACATAAATCGTGATCCAGGAAAGTCATTCACCTATGTTCCCGGTAACAACGTGGCCATATGCTGAAAATGACAAACAAGGAGCCTCTTGAGATCGTCCATGACATGTTGTGTGTAGTCTTGCTCTCTCTCGAGCAGCAACTTCTGTAGAAATGCAGCAGTCGCGCCTGCCATAGTCGCTCTCTCCAGAGGTTGCAACTTGTTCAATGCAGCAAAATCCACCTAAAACAAAGGCATCACTCATCGTCTGTCGGAATTCCATATGTACCTCAAAGGGATTGACCACTCCCGGTGCTTTGAGAGATATAAGCTCCTCAACTATGTCCCAGACTTTCGTGCCTGCAAAAGACTTGAGCTTCTTTAAATAATATCAGTGAGGAACCAAGCTTTTAGAATTCACAGCAAAGAAGTCTACCCTTTATTTTCCAGTCTCGTAAAGTCTGAAGATCAACTGGCCTGTCCTTGTTAAACTCGTGGTTACACCCTTCCGTATCAGACCTCAGCTGTCACAGTTCCAAAAGTGTTTTAAGCGGCAAGAAAAAAAAAAGGAAACGAGAAGAAAACATAAATCTCTCACCCAAATATATGGCCACGCATATCGGCCATAAGCTCCCAGCAAGAACAACGTTTCATTCGACTTCACCTGAATTTCCACACAGTCCCAATCAGCGAACTTGGAAAGAAAAGAAAAGGAAAGAAAGAAAAATGCAAACAACTGAATAGAACCAAACTTTCTTTGTCTCGGAGCTTGACGGACTTGCTGGAGGCAAAGCCGATTTAGAGGAGCGATTCTCCAAGCAAAAATTTCTTCCACTACTGCACCCTTTCTCCGTCTAGAATAAAATGCAAGCAAAGAAATCTCTCATACCTGATCGATTCCTCGCTCCGAATCGTGATCAACAGCTCCTCCCGGCCCCTCAAATACGTCGTGAAATGCCGAAAAACCTGGGAAGAATGCCGATCAGCGCAGACCTAGAATGAAACCCTACACTCACGCGAAGGCAACCGAAAGAGAGAATGTCGCGATAGAGCTCTTCCATCCAATGTCAATCATTGCTAAGAACCCTAAATTTCCACTTGGCATTTATCAAGGTGAAAAAAGCCCTAGAGCCCTGCCAGGGCAATGGCGGAGAGGGCCGGGGCGGCAGCTGCTGCTGTAATGCGGCCTCCATCGCCGGAAGCATGGCGCCAGGTCTGGCGTGATGTTCTTCGATCGCAGCAGCTGCGCAAGGTATTTCGCTCTCGTTCGTGTCGATATTTGTCTATTTTGTTTCTTTTCCAGACGATTCCTTCTGTCGCGATTTCTAGAGTGAATCAGTTTGATGCCGAGAGGCTGGATTTCGAGATGACAGGAATGTTGCGAGGGCAGCTCCTGAAAATATTTTCGTTTGTCCAGGTGATGGTTATTTGGTAGACACTCGAGTTTTGCTTGATGATCTTTCGTATGACAATGCACAGCCAGGTTTACTATCTCGCTACGAACCGGAACTCAACGCTTTCTTGGAGTTTCTTATATGGAGATTTTCGATCTGGGTCGATCGTCCTACGCCTGGGAATGCTCTCATGAACCTTCGCTACCGGGACGAGCGTGAATTTTTGAAACTTCCAGCTTCACAAGGTATGTTTCTTCTATCTGTTTTTGTTCGTGCTCAAAGTTTCGATGCAGTAAGGACGGGTTTGGAGGGCCCTGGTCTTACAGCACTACAAAAGATTTTTTACTGCCTCGCTCTAGTGGGAGGAAGATATGGCTGGGCTCGGCTGCAGCTGGTTTCAGCATTTCAACGATGGGGAGACCGCGACAGTGTATGTTTTTCTTTTCGATTCAAGATAGCTGTGATTTACGTTTGCCATTTTTAACCAGAGGTCATGGCCACGAAGGGTATGGGTCTTATTACAACGAGCAGAAAGCTTCTATAAGGTAGCTTACATGATAAATCTGATCGCTTTTCTTCGTACTGGAAGGTATGCAAGGTTGTCTCGGACTTAACATGAAGAATATAAACTTTTTCTTTGCAATTGTGGAATGCAAGGTACCGGAATTTGGTGGAGAGACTTTTGCAGACCCGCTTGGTTTATCTAAGGCCGAACATGAGCCGAGCGGTGAGCTTTGAGTACATGAACCATCAACTTGTATGGCAAGAATTTTCGGTAAGTGTGGTTCCTTTTTGCCCATTGTCTATGCTAACTGCGGTCTATAGGAGTTATTGCTACTAGTTTTGCCGTTGCTAAACGTCTTCTCGCTCAAGAAAGTTCTTCCTTCGTCCTTGACGGGTAAAGAGACTGTAAAGCGCACAGATGAAGAGACCTGTCCTATTTGCGAAGTGTCTCCTATCAACGTTCCTTATATGGCAGTTCCTTGCGGGCATCGGCATTGCTACTACTGCCTTTCTACAAGGTGTATCGCGAACTCTACGTACCGGTGTGCACGATGCAATTCAAATGTCACAGCAATGCAGCGATATCATCCACAAGTTGAGCTCGGTAGCTCCGATCAGCAAAATGTGAAAAACAAAATTTAAATTGCTTCTGGTACGTATTACTAACAGAATAGCACTTTGGAAATTGAACTTGTATGGTTTCATTTGTGGACAGGCGCTACTGTTTAAGAAGCTGTCTGCACCACTTGCACTTTTTCCTTACGTCAACTCCTCGAAAGAGCATTATGAGGGCTACTACGTAGAGCACCACCAGCAGATTCAAGGCGATAACCCAGATGACAAACTTGTACTTTGGGAGTGAGTAGATTCTCCACGGCCGAGAGGGAGGTTGGTATGGCTGCAAGTGCTGCTGCTGATGGTGCTGGTTGTGGTGGTGCTGCTGGTGATGCTGTTGAAGCCGACTGTGAACATGATACCGTTGATCCATTTCACGCTGGATAAGTTGGTGATCGAACTCATAGTGGTGCCTCTGAGATGCTATAGCCGGAGCACTCGCAGTGAATTCGTGGGCTGGGATTCCGGGAGCAGCCGGGGCTGGAGTGCCAGTTGTAATAATACCGACAGGTTGAGTTGGCCAAGTGAGTGGTGGTCGCTGGAGAAGTATGAATCCCAGCAGAATTCCGGATATGCAACCTCCCAAGTGAGCGTAATTGTCGACGTGCGGCATCTTCCCGAGAGCTAGATTGATGATGAAGAGGACTACAAGCTGGGACAGCGTGAACCAGCTACGTTCGTGATGAGACCAGTTAACGAGAAGCTCCGACAGTAGCGCTCCCATGAGGCCAAACAGCGCACCAGAGGCTCCTACAGAGATCGTGAGTCGCAGGAACAAGGCAGAGAGAAGACTTCCACCGAAACCGGCGATGAGATAGACGAATCCGAGCTTCAGGAACCCAAACTCTTGCTCCATTTGAAGTCCCAGCGTAAGGAGGCCCAGCATGTTTAACAGGAGATGGAAAACGCCGGCATGAAGCCAGATGCAAGACACCAGCCGCCATCCCTCTCGACCACTGGTGACAAGCTCCGACTCAAGAGCTCCCATTCTCAGGAGAGTGTTCGAAGATGGTCCGAGCAGTGGATTCTGGCTTAGTGGCTGGAACGAAAATCTCTTGAGTCCGGGAAGAATGCAGCGATACTCCGTCTGGTGAGCAGGACAGTCGTTCCGGTACATGGTGATTATGAACACGACAATGTTGGCGATGACGAAGATTGGCACGATAACAACTCTTTTCCGCATTCGGCAGCAACTTTGCCCGTCTCTCGTCACATGAGGTGGTGAAGAGATCGAGTGTGGACTTAACGGAATAATGACTACTTCAGGGGATCCGGGCCTGGCAGCAGTAGTTTCACAGTGGTGGTCTTCTCTCCGGACTATAAAGAGGGGGTTCATCTCTAAGTATCCGGCGAGCCGGGGGCCGAGTTCACTGATCCGTGCGGTCTCTTTGCGATCAATGCAAGGCGGTGGCGGTGTTCTTCGTCCGCTCGACGCAGGTCCGACAGCTGCCGGTACTGAGTAAACAGATTTGATGTCCTCAGCTTCGCTGGTGCTGCCGGTTTCTCTGCGGTCGCTGGCATTGATGCCGTTGACGCTGTGGTGGCGGTGGTGAGCGCTGCAGTGGATTTGGCGTAGGCTTTCGAGCTCGCACGGAAATTCTTGTCGCGGAAACTTGTGAGTCGTTTCCATTTCTTTCTTGCTCGTGTGAAAGCTTATTTTGTTTTCTCCCGTCGTGTTGTGCAGTGTCACAGACGAAGACTTTGCAAACGAAAGAAAGGAGTTTTCCCGTGACAAACGGCAACTGTCGCATGACTTTCCGTCGGAGTTAGGCCAACTGACGGCCGTTGCTGCCGGTGCACAAGGATATTCTCTAACTGGCAAGCTAGCCTAAGGAATCGGTTCGATCCCCAGCAAGGTGAGTTCTTTTTCTTCTTTTTGTTTTCCTTCTAGTCACACTCTTTCTGTGGTTGCTATAGGATCATGGCAATGTCATCAACAGCAGCAGCTCTCTCGCCAGCTTTTCGCAGCCGTGATTCAATCTGGGGCGAGAAAGTTGTGAGACCAATCTACACTCGACAGCTAGTAGCAGTAGTATCATCATCATCAAGGAAAGCTCAGGTGACTGTTCGCGCACAGGGATTTAACTTCTGGGAAATTCTCGGCGGTCGAGGCCTGGGCGAAGACCAGATGACGTCCATAAGCAACGAGAGGCCCCTCTTCAAAGACGCGGTTTTGAGCAGCGAGAAAACGGATGCTCGAAACAAGAAAGAAGAAGAAGAAGATGGTGATTTTGAGAAGGAACTTGGTGGTCTAACAGGCGGCTTCCCTGGCGGCGAGACCGGGCTCATAGATTTCCTGCTCAAGAATCCTCCACCGGCAAAGCCACTGGTACTGTCCGAAGAGATTGAAAAGATTCGCAAGGAGATTCCGGGGCCGGGAGTCAAGCCGAGGCCAGCGCCGCCACCGCTGCTCATGCCGGGAATGACTGTCATCGTGAAGAATCCCAAGAACCCATACTATATGTACACGGGGATTCTCCAGAGGGTGACGGACGGCCGAGCTGGGATTTTGCTCGAGGGTGGCTGCTGGGATAAAATGCTCGCGATCGAGCTCAAGGACTTGGAGCGCTCCAAGCCACCACCAATGACCAATCCCAAGTCGGCCATTCTTCTCGAGGACGAGGAAAAGTGAGCTGTCCATGTCATAGTTGACGTGCTGACGTGTCCGGGGGAAAGATGACTTGGCCACGTCATAGCGTGCTATGTGGCCTGAGTTGAGTCGTGAGGCAGTGAGAAACGCTGTTCCACACGCCTCTTTGTTTGGTGGGTATTCCACTGAGAATCTGGACCAAAGAAAACATTGAGGTCATTTTCACTATGGTGGAGAGAGCACTTCATGGTAGAAGCATAGAAAAATTTGCCCAGATTTCTTCACGCTATATGGCTACAGAGGCTATAAAGATTGGATCGGGTTCCTTTCCAATACATTGGAACATTGCATTGTCACGAAGATCTCTCGATTGTCTTGCTTGTTTCTTTATACTTCTTGTTGGAACAATGCCGTAAAGGAGGTTTCGCTAGTTTTCGTACAAAGATAAAAAACCGTGGGATATTCCTCAGATGAGCCTTGGAGTACGGACTCGGCATGCTAGCAAGAACAAGAGGAGCCAGCGGGAAGTAGAGGAGGGAGGAAGATTAGGGTTTGTGTGGATGCGCGATGGCGGAGGGGATCGACATGCACACCCGCGGCGATGCCGGCGGCGCCGTGACGGAGTCTCTGCTATGGAGCGATGCGGTGGCGGCGCAGCAGCCGTGGAGGCTCAGCCTCCGCCGCCCCGATCGCGTCGATGTGGCGCCTGATTCGCCGCGGAATTCCATGCACGATTGCCTCAAGAAGTGTAAGCTATCGATTGATTTGGTAGTTCTTTTGGTTCTTTCTGGCGAAATCGCTCACACATCGCGATATTTCGGCAGGGTCGACCACTCCAGTGGATGAGTTCTATCAGCAGCAGCTCGAAATGCTCGATTCCTTCTCGGAGCTGGACAGCATTCAAGACCGAGGGCCAATGTCCGCCGGTGACAAGGAGAAGAAGGATGAGACTGCGCGGCGCGAGACGATGGCTATCCGGATCTCAAACCTGGCGAATATGGTGCTCTTCGCGGCCAAGGTATATGCATCGATTCGCAGCCGGTCTCTCGCTATCATCGCGTCGACGCTGGATTCGTTGCTGGATCTCTTGTCCGGCTTCATCCTTTGGTTCACTGCCTTTTCGATGCAACGGCCGAATCCATATCTCTATCCCATTGGGAAGAAGCGAATGCAACCACTGGTGAGCAAAGCTTTCTTCTTCTTTTCGGTCGCTCTCTTTTCTTACGAGTGGCCTTTTCTTTTTCGTGCTACCGCAGGGGATTCTTGTGTTTGCTTCCGTGATGGCGACTTTGGGACTACAAATTCTCCTTGAATCCGGGCGGAAGCTCATCAACAATGTACACGTTTTTCTCTTTTCCTGTTCTTTTGGCGTCGCTTTTCTCATAGAAAAAGAAAAAATTGATATCTTGCAGGATCATGACTTGGCATTGGACGGTAGCAGGCGCGATTGGGTGATTGGGATCATGGTGTCGGTCACTATTGTGAAGTTACTTCTCATGATCTACTGCCAGTCGTTCAAGAACGAGATCGTGCGAGCCTACGCGCAAGATCACTTCTTCGATGTGATCACCAACGCAATCGGGCTGGTTGCGGCGGTGCTCGCTGCTCGCTACTTCTGGTGGATCGATCCGACCGGCGCCATTGTTGTAAGTACACTGGATGGCTTTCTTAAAGTTTTGATTCTTTGTAGATTTTTCTGAGTGGTTCTTGGCGCAGCTCGCGCTTTACACGATTAGAACTTGGTCGGTCACAGTGCTAGACAACGTAAATTCGCTGGTGGGCCGGACGGCGTCCCCGGACTATCTCCAAAAGATCACGTACTTGTGCTGGAACCACCACGAAGAGATTCTCCAGATTGACACGGTTCGCGCTTACACATTTGGCTCTCACTATTTCGCCGAGGTGGATATAGTGCTGCCCAGACATATGCCTTTACAGCAGGCTCACGATATCGGCGAATCTCTCCAGAACAAGCTGGAATCTTTGCCGGATATCGAGCGAGCATTCGTCCATCTCGACTATGAGGTCTCCCACAGGCCAGAGCACTCGAATTACGACGATGCCTGACAAAAATTAAAAAATTAGAAAATTACCATTTTACCAGAGAAATGTACACTTAAATAAAAGTAAAATGAGAAAAGAATCTTGCACTGTTTTATGGTTCATTTTTCCACCTTTACAAACCAAAAATAACCGTTTGACCTTTTTACTACATCTAGAGTGAAAAAATCTTTAAAAAGTAAAATGGACGTTCCTGGGAATGGTCGCGCTGGGAAGCCGCGAGCTGGGCGTGCCCAGTGCGACACCGCACGCGCGACCACCGCGGTAGCACAACAACCGGATATTCCCCCATGGCCCGGTACCGGTTGCCACCGGGCATCGGTCCTTGTTTTGAAGTGGGGAAAGGAACCGGAAGAAAAACCCCAAGAGGCATCACACTGCTTGCGCAGGTGGAACCGGTTTAGGGTTTCAGGTACAACAAGTATACCTGTGTACCCCCAAGCTGGGGCCATGCCGGTACCGGACCCTTCCAGGAACGTCCCCGGTAGTGACAATGACTCGATGTGGGGCGCTTATAAAGAGGTGGACCAAAGCTGTGCCTTGGCATATGGGATATTAAGAAGGAGACGTGGCAGCACGAGGGTGACGCTAGGGTTTATATTTTGTAATTTGGAGGGAAGTCTCGAGGGCTTTATATACTGCGGTGACGACCCACATTGTGGGTTCTTGCTCGTCGTCTGCGCCAGGTGATTTTTTCGATCGGTGAGGGCGGCATTTCACTCCAGGGTATCGATCGCTCCGGCTCTGACGATGATCGGTGAGGGTTTGTGAGCGGCATTTCACTCCAGCGTCTCGATCGCTCCGGCTTTGAGATGATCGGCGAGGGTTTGGGAGCGACATTTCACTCCAGGGCATCCAAGGCTTGATCGATCGGCTAGTTCTATGGATGATGGCTGAGGCCAGGCTGCTCGCGGCAGGCAAGCGCCATTGGATGAGGAGCAGGATGCCGGAACTATGTGTTGGGAGAACGATGCACGATTTTTTGAAGACTGGGATGAAGGCGCGTCCTCAGGTAGGCTTGGTTTTCTTTCGTAGCAAGTGTGCTCTCATCATACAAAGAAAAACTACTTTTCGTTCCCACGTAGTTTCTGCTGCCAGAGAGGAATCTATCAGACCAAAGCAGTCAGGTAGGCTTGCTTGCGTATTCGATTCTACTATTCTACGAAGCTCTTTAACTTTCTTTCCAAGTGTAGTTTGGGATGAGTCCTCGACATCGTCAGGTAAGCTTCATTTTCATTTCGTGGAAGGTGACATGATTTCTATCAATGCAGCTCCCACTGTCAGGGGGGAAACAGCTTCCTCAGGTACATTTTAGTTTTGTCTACGTAGAAAGCTGGAAGCTCATATGTTTTTTTTTTTCTTCTTTTTTTTTTCTGTAGTTTGTACTGCCAGGGATGATTCACCTCTTCGAATGGCCTCGGAACTTGGTCCTGCTCAACTGGTAGAGCTGCCAAGCGTTTCCAACGAACGTTTCGACGGTGTTGGCTATCTTCTGTGCGATAAACTTGGTTCCATGTCGCTGACGATGAAGCAGCAAGTGTCTAGAGATACTTTCGCCGCCAATACCGTAGGTTATGAATCGTCCGACACGTCCGCGTCCGATCTAGTACTGGGTGAAGGAAGGTGGAAATTCATCCTCCCCGGGAATGTTTCTTCTATCTTCTATGAGCATCAACATGAAGGTCTACGTTGGCTGTGGAGATTGCATCTTCAGCGTCGAGGAGGAATTCTGGGAGACGACATGGGCCTTGGCAAAACAATGCAGGTAAAAACCTTTTCTTTTTTATGCTTCTGCAGTTCTAATCTATCCTTTCTCAGATTGCTTGTGGTCTGTTTCACTCTCAGCTTATGAAGAGGGCGCTCATTGTGGTGCCGAAGACATTAATACCTCACTGGAGCAAGGAGCTCAATGTGGTGGGACTTGGAAGGAAAGTTAAAGAGTAAGCGACCGGAGTATTGTTCAAGTGACATATGCTACTCCTTTCTTTTGTCTTACAGCTACTCGACGTCGTCTGTAAACGTCCGGAAATCGAACTTGGATCATATATTGCACGTATACTCACTCTCATATCTACATCCGTGCATATCAGTGTTGCCATTGCAACAGGCCGGAGGAGTGCTGTTTACCACATATGATATTGTTCGCCACAATACCAATGCTTTGAAAGGTAAGTTTGATGGTGATCAAGTGACATGGGACTACGTAATTCTTGACGAGGTGAGACGATTTCTCTTTGCCGTGCTTCTCATTCACGTGAAACGTGCAGGGCCACCTGATAAAAGATCCCTCAACTCAACGTGCAAAAAGTTTAAAGGAAATTCCGAGCGCTCATAGAATCATTTTAAGTGGCACTCCCATACAGAACAATTTGCGAGTGAGATTGATTCGGAAGCCTCTGATAAAAAATTTCGACTAAACACCTCTTTCTAGGAAATGTGGGCCCTTTTCCACTTTTGCTACCCTGAACTTCTAGGCGACAGAAAAGAGTGCGTTTTCAATGTGCTTTCGTTGGCTCTTACGCTTAACTTTGTAAGTTACCGCAGATTCAAGTGGGAATACGAAGCTGCGATTTTGAGTGGTAATAATAAGGATGCAAATTATATTCAAAAGGGAAATGGAGCTACAGTTGCGCAGGTATGACAATAATCAAGTTATCCTGTTTTTGAGTTGGTTTTGCAGAAGCTTCAAGACAGAATTGCCCAGTACTTTTTGCGTCGCCTGAAGAAGGATGTTTTTCCGAGTATGGGTCAAGGCACACAGCAGCTTGCAAAGAAGAACGACATAATTGTATGGCTGCGATTGACTCAACGACAGGTACGTAAGATGTTGCATTTTTTCTGTCTACTATCTCGTGCTTTTCTCAGCGTCAGATGTCTATGGCGCTTTTGAGAAGTGAAACAGCCCACGAATTCCTGGCAGGTTCAGACATCTTATTAGCATTGACGGTATTTGAAATCTTATTCAAGATGTTCTTAATGAGAATGTCCGAATTACAGATTCTTAAAAGAATTTGTGACCACCCTTCGCTTTTGACAAAGCAGGAGATCGACGATGTGGTCGGGTATTTAGATAGTACCGGCACTGCGGCCGCAGAGGCTATGGGAAAATCACTTCCTGCTGGTTCAGCAGAATCTGAGCCGGACAGTGAGGGAAATAAACACTCGTGCAAGGTCGTATTTCTTATGGCTCTTCTGGTAAGTTGGTGCTGAAGTTATACAACTTATAAATTTTTTATTTTTGTTGAAGGAAAATCTTGTGCAGGAGGGCCATAGAACATTGGTCTTCGCTCAGGCTCTTAAGATGCTTGACATTATCCAGGTGCGTCACATATTTTGACTGCGTCAGAGAGTCGTTGAGGTAAGCGTCAGAGAATCGTTGAGGTAAGCCACGGATGGATTTAGCTTGACTGACTTATTCTATTGCAGGATTTCCAGAGTGATGGCTGTAGAGTTTCCATATTTCTGTTGACATCACAAGTTGGAGGATTTGGACTCACGTGCAGATAGAGTTGTCATTGTAGATCACTTTTTAGGTTTTTTCACGTTGGGTGTTCTTTCCTTTTCTCTTTTTGTGATTCTGAACAAGTATAGCATATCGCATTGGGCAACGTCGGGACATCATAGTTTACCGCCTGATAACATCCGGCAGAATGGAGGAGCAGGTTTACAGGAGGCAGGTGAGCCAAACTGTACAATGTTTTCTATTCCTCCCATCTGTTTTCAGGTTTTCAAAGGAGGCCTCATGAAAATTGCTACCGAGCGTGCAGAACAATTCCGGGTACTTTTCCCAGCAGGTATTGTATCATTGGACCGATCACTCACATTGTTTTGTCAGGACTTCCGAGAATTATTGACTGTTCCGAAGACTGGCTTCGACATTTCTCCTACGCAGCAGCAGCTGTATGCAGAGCACGCCAGTCAGTTCGAAGTGTATGTTATTTGCATGAGTTTTATTCCCCGCATTGTGACACCATTGTGGCAGAGATGGCGAACTCGCAAAGCATATCAAGTTCCTGGAACGCCAAGGAATCGCAGGCGTGAGCCACCACGACCTTTTGTTTTCCAAGGCTGCGCCAGAATTGCGTCCTGACGCCGATGAAGAAGTCTCTGCCATCGCCAGCTTCTAGCATCTTTGTTCTGGTTTCGCATCCTTGCTAATGTCTTTCCGGTTTTCTTACAGCTATGCTGTGCATAAGACTCGAAAGAACTGCTGGAAGGGAACACGAGAAGTCAACAGGACAGGTCCTCCATGCTAAGTTTTGACCCATACATACTTCCACTGAAACTTAGAAATCCTTGAAATTTTTTATTTGGATGAACATCTTCAATTGTAGGTGGAAGATACCAGGGTATATGTGAAAAAGAATATACTTATAATATGTGAGAGCATGTACACGTGCCAAATATTATGGTGAAGCTAGGGTTTATATTTTGTATTTTGGAGGGAAGAGCATGTTTAGGGCTTTAGGGTGCCGCGATTGATCGATGGAGGCGCAGTGATTAGGCGGCGCGCCAAGGGCATTGCGGTGAATTTCGACTGAGGGTTTGTGCGGCATTTCTCTCCAGGCTGTCGATCGCTCCGGCTGTGACTGTTCAGCTAGTTCTATGGATGATGACGATGTCCAATTCGTTCGGAGCAAGCGGAATCTCAAGAATGCGCAGAGAACGGCTCTATTGGAGAAGATAGCTGACGCCAGGGCCGCTCGCGGTAGGAAAGCGCCGTTGGATGAGGAACAGGATGCTGGAAGTATGTTTTGGCCGGGCGTGGGAGAGAACGATGCTCGATTGTTTGAAGACTCAGTCTCAGATGAAGAATGCGCGTCCTCAGGTAGGCCTTAAGTTCGCTCTCATCGTAGAAAGAAAACCTAATTTTTTGTGCCATTTAGTTTCTACTGCCAGGAAGGAATCCACCAGAACAAAGCAGTCAGATACATCAGGTAAGCTTGCTCGTGTCTTTCGTTCTAGGAAGCTTTTTAATTTTCTTTTCTTATGCAGTTTTGCATGAATCCTTGACATCCTCAGGTAGGCTTGCTTTTCTTTCTTTGTGGAGGCTAAAATAATGTTTATATGCAGCTCCCACTGTCAGGGACGAAACCGCCTCCTCAGGTACACTTCATTTTTGCCTTCGTAGAAAGTTGGAAGCTCATTAAGCATTTGTTTTTTTTTTTGGTAGTATCTACTGCCAGCGAAGAACCCGTCAGATCACAGCACTCAGAGGCAAACAACACCAAAGTGCCGGGAAGGAGAAGGCTTTGCAAGGTCAAGGAGCGTCATTCACCCCTTCCAATGGCCTCGGAACTTGCTGCCGCTCAACTGGTAGAGCTGCCAAGCGATTCCAACGACAGTCATTCGCTAGAAACTGACGACGGTGTTGACTATCTTCTGTGCGAGAAACTCGGTTCCATGTCGCTGACGATGAAGCAACAAATATCAACGACATCTAGAGACACTTTCGAGTCCGCCAACAGTGCAGACTATGGATCAGCTACATCGTCTCTCGCGGAGGTGTCCAAGGGGGGCACTGATGACGTTCTCGAGATTTCTTCTTCAAGTTTATCCAAGAAGTCCAACAAGTCAGCTCTCGATCTAGTACTTGGTGAAGGAAGGTGGAAATTCATCCTCCCCGGGAATGTTTCTTCTATCCTCTATGAGCATCAACATGAAGGTCTACGTTGGCTGTGGAGATTGCATCTTCAGCGTCGAGGAGGAATTCTGGGAGACGACATGGGCCTTGGTAAAACCATGCAGGTAAAAAAAAAATTTATATTTGATGTTTTTGCAGTTCTAATCTATCCTTTCTCAGATTGCTGCATTTCTTTGTGGCCTGTTTCACTCTAAGCTTATTAAGAGGGCACTTATTGTTGCGCCGAAGACGTTGATACCTCACTGGGGCAAGGAGCTCAATGTGGTGGGACTTGGAAGAAAAGTTAAAGAGTAAGTGACATCGTTCAAGCTACAGATGTTAATCGTTCTTTTTTGTCTTACAGCTACTCGGGGACGTCTATAAGCGTCCGGGAATCTAATTTGGATCGTATATTGCAGGTATACTCATTGTGAAATCCGTGTGTCTCATTGTTGCCATTGCGACAGGCCGGAGGAGTGCTGCTTACTACATATGATATTGTTCGCCACAATACTAATGCTTTGAAAGGTGAATACAACTTTGATGATGATGACGTGACTTGGGACTACGTAATTCTTGACGAGGTAAGACGACTCTTCTTTGCTGTGCTTCTCATTTACGTGAAATGTGCAGGGCCACCTAATAAAAAATCCCTCAACTCAACGTGCAAAAAGTCTGAAGGAAATTCCGAGCGCTCATAGAATCATTATAAGTGGCACTCCCATACAGAACAATTTGCGAGTGAGATTGATGCGGAAATACTTTGATAGCTTCTATCACTAAACACCTATTTCCAGGAAATGTGGGCTCTTTTCGACTTCTGCTACCCTGAACTTCTAGGCGACCGAAAGGAGTGCGTTTTGAATGTACCTTCGCTGGTTCTTATGCTTAACTTTGTAAGGTGCAGATTCAAGGCGAAATACGAAACTATGATTTTAAGTGGCAACGATAAGAATGCAACCGATAGGCAAAAGAGAATTGGAGCTGCCGTTGCGCAGGTATGAAAACATTCAAGTTATCCTGTTTTTGAGTTGGTTTTGCAGGAGCTTCAAGACAGATTTGCTCCGTACTTTTTGCGTCGCCTGAAGAAGGACGTTTTTCCGAATACCGGTGAAGAAACACAGCAGCTTGCAAAAAAGAATGACATAATTGTATGGCTGCGATTGTCTCAACGTCAGGTACGTAAAAGTTTGAAGTTTCTCTGTCTACTAGCTTGTGCCTGTTTTCAGCGTCAAATGTACACTGCGTTTTTAAGAAGTGAAACAGCCCAAGGGTCCCTGGCAGGTTCAGCCAAGGGTTCTGCTTTAGCAGCATTGACGGTATTTGAAATCTTATTTAAGTTATTCCTAGTATTGATGTCCGAATTGCAGATTCTCAAAAAAATTTGTGACCACCCTTTGCTCTTGACAAAGCGGGCGACTGACGATGTGGTGGAGGGCCTCGAGTATTTAGATAGTACCGACATTGCGGCCGCAGAGGCTATGAGAAAATCGCTTGCTGGTTTAGCAGAGCCCGAGCCGGACAGTGATGGAAATAAACACTCGTGCAAGATCGTATTTCTTATGGCTCTTCTGGTGAGTTGGTGCCGAAAAGTTACAACTTATATTTGTGTATTTTTGCTGAAGGAAAATCTTGTGCAAGAGGGCCATAGAACACTGGTGTTTGCTCAGACTCTTAAGATGCTTGACATTATCCAGGTGCGTCACATATTTTTACTGCCTTAACTGACGTTTTTCTTTCAGGAAGAGATAACGAAACGGAGGTATAGCTTTTGTCGTATAGACGGCAAAACAAAAGGTTCCGAGCGTCAGAGGATCGTTGAGGTGAGCCACGGTTATGGAATTACTTGACTAACTTTATTCTATTGCAGGATTTCCAAACTGATGGCTGTACAGTTTCTATATTTCTGCTTACATCTCAAGTTGGAGGATTGGGACTTACGTTGACAGCTGCAGATAGAGTTGTCATTGTAGATCCGGCTTGGAATCCCAGGTTCGGGTTCACTTAAGTTTTTCTTCATTTTTGTACGTATATTTGTAGCAAGGACAACCAAAGTGTCGACCGAGCATATCGTATTGGACAGCTTCGGGACGTCATAGTTTACCGCCTGATGACATCCGGCACATTGGAGGAGAAGATTTACAGGAAGCAGGTAAGCCAAGCTGTGCATATGGTTTTTCAATCCTCCTATCTCTTTTCAGGTTTTCAAAGGAGGCCTCATGAAAGTTGCTACCGAACGTGCAGAACAATTCCGATACTTTTCCCAGCAGGTATAGACGAAACAGCCGATCACTTACATTGTTTTGCGCTCGCAGGACTTCCGAGAATTATTGACTGTTCCGAAGACTGGTTTCGACATTTCTCCTACGCAGCAGCAGCTGTATGAAGAGCACGCCAGTCAGTTCGAAGTGTATGTTATTTGCATGAGTTTTATTCCCATCAGCATTGTGACACCATTGTGGCAGAGACGAAGAACTCGCAAAGCATATTAAGTTCCTGGAACGCCAAGGAATCGCAGGCGTGAGTCACCACGACCTTTTGTTTTCCAAGGCTGCGCCAGAATTACCTCCTGCCGCCGATGAAGAAGTCTCTGCCACCGCCAGCGTCTCAAGGTTTGCATGAGTAGCATTTACTCTCGAGCCTTCTCACACAACAGATAATGCTACTTCACAGGATGGCTGGCTCGCTATCTTCCAAACTAAAAAATAAGCAAGTGGAGGACTACTCTGGGTAAGTATCTTTTCTGCTTTTACATCCTTGCTAATGTATTTCGGGTTTTCTTACAGCTCTGCTGCATATCAGCCGCAAAGCAACTACTGGAAGGGAACGCAAAGAGTGAATCTGGTGGACCTTGATGATAGCCAGATGAACGTGAGACATTTGCAAGATAACATCAATAGGCTGTCCTCCATGCTTTCAAACCGTGTGAGTGTTGGCATCATTCTTATCCCGTGAGCCTAACTCTTATCCCTTCTCTCTTGTTGTTTAGAGCCTGGTGTCAAAGCTGCCGGATGGGGGAGAAAACATCAGGAAGAAAATGAAAGACCTGGAAATCGAGCTTGAAGAAGCAAGCCGCGCGCGAGAGAAAGAGATAGTCGACGTGGACGAGTTTGCTAGTGCATTTGACAAGCTTCACGTCATTGTTTGATTGATCGATCAAAAGATGTTAGCTTTACAACAAGGTGGTGTTAGTGGTGTGATACATCGTCGTTATTTCTATATACTTTTCCTGATGATTCTCAGATGGCCAAACTTCCCAGCTCCAGGTGATGATCCTTCAAATATAAACGGCAAATGGCCAGTGGCTTCCTTGTAACGCTGCTGGACCTGTGTGAACAAACAAGCGAGAGCAGTAAATAAGATCTCTACGATTCGAGGGACCAAGTGACGTGTGAACTTACCTCGAGGATTTGCTTTGTAGCGTCCACTCCGGGTGTGCTCACGACACAAACGGTTCCACCGCATCCACCGCCGGAGATCTTGGCACCAAACAAGCATGTGTTCTCCGACGTGCTGTGTCTTTGCATGTGTTTTACCAGAGCCACAAGCCGGTCTGTGCCAGTGGAGCCTAGACCACATTTCGTGTAGCTCAAGTGTGCCTGCCAATCCAAAGTTAACATGGCTGGTAAACCAAAGTTACACTTACCTGATACATTAGTTGGCCTAACAAGTAGAGTTGTTTAGTGGTATCTCCGGCAGCTTCCAGCAGAAGAGCAAATGCCTGAAAGGAAGAAGAAATATTTGTTGGAATGAGAAGCTAAAAGAAAGGAAGAGATGGTGTGTTTACCTCCACACGGCTGTTTTCATAGATTGGATGGGCCGTGGGTGATTTGACAGGGTACGAGACTTGCGGAAGAATTGTTGTCACCGAATCTTTGTGACTGCCATACTTGTCCAGGAATTTCTTCCCTTCGATTGTCTCGGGGAGCATGTTGGCGTACGAGGCTTCGTATCTGCGGTTAAACAGTCGCGTTAAGTTGGCGTTAAGTTGGCAAAGAAAAATCATGGATGTTGGTACCTTTCTGTCGTCAGGTTGCACAGATATGACAGATTCTTTTCGTCCAGAAGCTGTTCCGTTTCCACCTCGTCGACTTCGTCAAAACCATTTCCGTTGTCCTGTTTCTCTGAGAGTTTCTCGGCTGCTAGCTGCGCAATCATCTGGCGGCCCATGAACGCTCCAACTCTAACGGATCCGTAATCGGCTCCCCCAACGCTAGAGACAAAGCGAGAAAGAAAACAACGTTAGCATCATTGCCGGGACTCGAGTTTGAAGATCTCACCTGTGCTTTATGCCCGAATCAAGCCCCCAGAACTTAACGTCCGTGGGAATGTTCACGTGTTCTTTCACCTCTGCTGGCTGTTTTATCCATCGAAATGTTAATTGGTGCGCACCAATAGATAGATTTATAGAGAGTACCTGGCACACCATTGCGAGAAGTTTGTACGCCTCCCCACAAGCTGAGGTCATCTGGTCCATGACTCCGCAAGGGGCACCAACAATGAGATTCTCTACCTGCACAAGGTTTCACTAAGCTGTAAACAAGACTTGTATGCCTACCTTCTGACAAAGAATTGCCAGCTGCCTTGGCTCAATTTCAAGACCTGAGGACGTGCAAACAAAACTCAATATTTGTGTGTTGGAATCGAAAGCTGGCAACTTACCATATGCCGCGGCTATTGCTGACATTGAAGCAACCTCGACAGCTGCTGACGAGGACACACCTTTGCCTTCGGGAACAGCTGAGGATACCTGCATTCCAGACGTTAGAAACTACACTTTGTCGTCACTGTGTAACGTGACTTACCAAAATGCTAATGCAGTCTTCACACTTGAATCCTAGTTCTCGTATCAACACCAAAATGGTCCCTGCGACATAAGCGGCCCAGCTGCCAGAGGAAACGCGCGTTACAAAATGCAAACTTGATTCTAGTTGGTACTACTTGCTCGACCTTTGTGACGAGTCGTTAGAGAAGTATCTGCGAGCTTCTTCGTAGCTAATAGGTTCTCCTTGCGCATCAAAAAAGTCGGATAGGTCCATATCAAAAGTTGGAGCCCTGTTAGACGCCTCAGATCCAAGAGATACCTGCAAAATTCAATTCGTAAAAATCCAGAAAAGAAAAATTCTTACGCACAATTTGCATGACTGGCTTACAGCCAGGAACTTGTCGGGCAGATATGTGCTTCCACACCCGCTGCTTCGCAGAAGAATTTCTTTGAACAGCAACGTGACAAGCTTCTCTAATAGGCATCTGAAATGCATGATGTTAGTTCAAAGTTGTTGTGACACAGGAGTTAACCATACTTGTAGCACGAGGCTGCCAGAGTAATCCGCGATTCCACCCATAACATCCAAACGACCAGGAGCTCTTGCTACAAATATTTCTTCCTGTAAAATATAGCAAAGTTAAGACCCTGGTCTGCATCTACATTCAGCTTCTTACCTCCCAAGAAAATATGCCGGCAGCAGCTACACGTTCTCGAAGCGGTGAGTTTACATCGTCTTTCAGCCTTGCGAGACTTTTAAGGAAAAGAGCTGTATCTGATAATCCTTGCAGATCCCCGTGCAAAATCTCAAACTCTTCCACCTCTCTGAAACAAGAGCGTTTAGAATACAAACTTCTTGAAATAAGAGACTTACATGTCAGTGACAGTGTGATTAAGAAGATTTCCCGGTACACCAGGATTCAAACCATTCAGAAGGCCCAATTGGCTCTCACTTTGACTTTGAGTGTACCAATCAGGAATTGTAACCTCCCTACCAGGAACTCTTTGAATTTGATATCCAAAGACAATGGCATCACGAAGCCTGCGTGCTCCACTTTCCTAGGTGAATGAAGAAAGAATCAGTCTTACACTGTTTAGTGCCTTAACATTACCTTTCTTACGGCGGCAATATCACCCCTAGCAGCACCCTCTAGTATTCTCGCAACCGTCTGCAGGAAAACAACTATAGTGATCGGACTATTCTTTAAAGTGATTCATTCACGTCACCTCGCCACCGTTCAAAGGAAGATCGTAGCAAGGCTTCATCTGCAACGCCCGTTGAAGATATGGTTCCCATTGTCCACTTAAAAAATCTCTTCGGATCATTTCTACTCCACATCGGTAGGACTGTCATTCATTTGTAAGTTGGAAGTTTCCTAAAAATGCCATCAAAGTTACCTCTAGCATATTTCTCAAAAATGGTTCTTCGTTAAAGTAATCACGTCTGATAAATACGAAAGGAACTTTGTATCCCAAGGCTTCACTCACAGTTCCATAGCCAATCTTGCCTGAAAAAAAAATCTGAGGACACGCACATGATTTGATAAACATACCAAGCATGCAATCGCTTGCTGCAATAAGATCTGGAGTATATGCATCACGTCCAGGGCCAATAAAATTTGGAGGGAGCGACTGGTCCGGGGAAGCACCACAGACCAAGCATACCCAGCCCGCAGGTAAAAATTCCTCTTTTAAGGACCAATTAGCGAGCTGCAAGGAAGGTTATATCACAAATTGTGTCGATGCCACTTTCTGGACATACCTGGCCACCAAAGTTGAAGACAACAATCTTTTTGTCATCTGGAATGCCGAACTCCTTGCGAACCTGCAAAATAAAACACGCTATAGTACGTGCAAAATCCAATCAAAACGGGCACAAAGACCTGCTCTCTACTCTTCCGCACTTCTCGAACAACTAAAGGAACATCCACGACATCACGAAACGCTGGCACTGTTGCAAACACTTGGTCTCACAAAAGGGAACTACGAAGAGCAGCTTTACTTACTAGGACAGTAGCCAGGCAAGCGTACCAAAAACAACGCTTGAGAGTAGTCTTCCGCTATCTGCAATGACCAAGCAATAAGCGTCTAAACACAGCAACATTTCTTTACCTGCCAAATGATCGACTGATGCGCATGGCCAGCAGCCGTGACATAGTCGGCATATATAAAGTCCCAGCTGAGAAATCAACGTAAGTTTCAATCCAAAGATTGGTCAGCCACGCAGACCTGAAGTTGCTAACACAAATCGAAGGAATATCAGCTTCTGTCGCAGCTCGACATGCCACCGGAACAATATCCGAAACCTAACATAAGTTTTCCTTTAGAAACAACCATACGAGAGAAAAAAGATCACAAGTTACCACAAGATTTGCATTGATGGAACGAAGCCATCGAGACTCAGTTTCCAGAATTGATGCTCGTGGTAATACTGCTGTCTCGGAATACTGAAAAAAAAAGGTTTTAACAGTTTAGCATTGGTAAAATAAGAATTTTTTTTAATCTGTATCACCTGTTCCAAAGAAGCCTGGCGATCCACTGTCAAGGCATCCGATTGCACAGCTCCACAGTCTAGAAGCACCTGTACGAGAATTCTCAGTCGCTAGAAAAAATAGAGATCCAATTCCAGGAGCCGCAAGATCGCTTACCTTGCGAACGTGAAGCTTGGGAGATGGAATCTCGCGCTTAAACACGAAATCCGGAGCGCCAGAAACTATGTAAACGACATGTCCAGCAGCTACCAGATGCCTGGCGACCTGGAAATATCAGCAAGAAGCGCGTGATGTAGCTAGGGTTCTTCCCGGATCGCCATTCCCAGCCTAATTTCGCACGAGATCTCACCTCGACAACGCGCGTCGCGTGGCCGAATCCATGGCCCGTGACATAGTAGACAACCACCAGCTCCTGGCGCTGATCTCGCATTGAATCGCTTGAAACCATCTCACCTTGGCGCAACGATCGCCCGCCTCGCCCTCTCCCGGGTGGAAGAAGAAGCACAAAATAAAATAAATTCGCAACCCTTACCGTTGGATTGGCTCATATATCGAGTGCCCTTTATCCAACGGCCCAGACCCGCGGTAAATGAGCTAAAATTTCGCACGAAATGATCCAGATAAACATTACCTTAAAGTCCCAAGTTTCGTGGAGATAGACCTAGATAAGCTTGACAACGCAAAATTTAAAACACTCTTTTGATTTTTACCTTGACATCAATGATTGATCGCAACGTTGCTTTGCCCTAAAACCCAGAGGTACGGCACCGCCACTGGCGCGTACGGTGAATGCCGCGACTGGGCATTTGCAGGAGTGTCAAAACCTCTTCACATCGCTGGGATTTCTTGGCATTGATACGAAGTTGATGCCTCACACGACACGGGGTTGATTACGCTAAACCCGGCTATAACAACACCGTATGTTTATGCGATACGCTTGGTGTTTTAAAATGGTATATAAAGGGTAGAGGTCTGGCAATTTGGATTCTTTTGTCCCCTCTAGCTGTGGCTTCTGTTCAAAGTGTTTGAGCTGTTTTTTAGGATAGGTATTTTATCAATATTCTTTTGCTTTGAATTCATCATTTCATTCATCAGTGAGAAAGAAGGCAAAAGAAATAGTAAAATAACAGCGCAAGAGAGAAAAATGGTGTAGACGACGACCAGGAAACGATCGAGAGAGGCTTCTCCAGTGTTCTTGTTGTTGTGAGCATTTGGATGTGACCCTCGCGAAGATATCGAAAACCTTGAGAGCTTTTGGTGAGTGATTTGATATTTTTCGCCATGGAGAGAGAGTTCAATGCATTGCTGCGCTGTGGCGCCGCTTGGACGCTTGTGTCAAGCGAGAGTTTTTTTTAATCGATTCGGCCCGTGAGCAGCAGCCGGATTGATTGACTCTATCGTGGTTTTTTTTTTGTTCTTCGTTTTTTCTATATGAATTTTGCAGCTCTGCGTGTGCGTCGTCCAAGGCAGTGGATCTTGGAGCGCTTGTCTTGCATTGTTTGAGTAGAGTTTCCTCGTTTCGAGCTCGTCAAAAAGCCCTCTCCACATCCCCATCCGGCCAGATTGAAACTTGTCTTCGTCCTCTTCTCCTTGTTCTTGTTTGTGTTCTTCGCTTCTTCCTCAAGTAGCTTTCTTTCTCTCTATAGTTTTGTTCTTCTGTCCATCCAGTCTCGATCTTCCGGAGCTCTGCGTTTCTTCCGATCCAGACGATGCATCGAACAAGACTTTTGCTGGTGTCGACGATGCTGCTCATCGCGATTACTTTCTCGAAAAGTTTTGCTGCTGCTCAAGCGCGATCTCCTTCCTTGGCAGATCCAAGCTCGGGAATCCAATTCTCCTCGAAGGTAAAAACCTCTGCCTCTTTCTTGGAGTGCAATGAATTGAATCGATCGAGTCCTTGCAGGCGATTCGACGCCCGAGGATGAGATCTCTGCTGAGCGATCGCGAAATGCGCATCGAGGAGGAGGACTACTACATGGTCGACCCGCCACCGCGGCCGAGAACGCCGGTCAAGAGCGGTCCAATCAAGTATGTGGATCCAGCGCTGGAGAAGCCGAGGATACCACGAAGAACAAGAACGAGACAGAATATTCCCAGGCATCGATCTGTTCCCCCGACGCCGTCGCCCGTCTGCCCGTCACCGCCCTGCAAGTCGTGGCCGTCAGCCCGGTCGCCGCCGTGACTGTTGCCAGAATATTCCAGACGGCGTCAGCATAACTACGGTTCTCTCGTTTTTTCTTTTTTGTTCTTCTAGTTGATGATTATACGACCAACGTAAGGCCGGTGATGATTTGCGGAGGAGGTTGTTTCAATGTACAAATCGCTGCTTCCCGAGATTGCTTTTCAGAGATTTTGTAGTTCTTCCATGGTTGGCATGGTTGAAGGAGCGAGAATATTTTGCAATTTCTTTCAAACATTTTGTTTGTAATTTTTTTGAAATTCTTCTTTTTTAGAAACCTCCCCATGCACCACTGTTTTGTTTGGAGCGCCCAAGAAAAAAAAAAAAGTAAAAGGAAAAAGAGCTCAAGGTATTTTTCTATCAAACTTGGCGGCACCAAGTTGGTGCTTGTAAGTGCCTAGGAGAGGAATGCTGGTGGTGGCGCTCTTGCTGGCGTTGGATCTCCTCCATCCGACGGCCGCGCAGCGCGAGCCAGCCAAGTGCGGCAGCAGCGATGCCGGATCTGTGTTGATGCCATGCTTTGCTTTCCTCGAGCAACAAAGCAGGGAGCCATCCGCGCGCTGCTGCTCCGCCGTCGCAAACTCCACGCAAAAAGAGCCACCGCGCTGCCTGTGCGTGTTCCTCGACCAGCTCGCGCGCGCCATGAATCGAACCCAGCCCCTCCAGCTCCCGTCGCTCTGTGGCGACGCCCGGCTCACCGCGGAGCGCTGCAAAGGTTTGTTTGTAGCTAATCGGTTTGCTTAGTGGCACTAAACTGCTTTTTTCTTTGGTTTTTTTTCTTTTTCTTGTGTAGCTCTGGCTGCTTCAGATGCCGTTGCGCCGGCGCTTGCTCCAACGCCAGGTGAGATTTGTACTATAGTTTGGATAGAACTTTGCTTGGAGAGAATGGATTGAATCAAAGGATGGACTTTAGAAGTGAGACCCTCTCTCTCTCTCTCTCTCTCTCCTTCCTTTGCTCTGCTTTGTTCTGCTTTGCTTTGTCGCTTGCCGTGTGGACTACTCGTTTGGACTGTGCTTTGCTTACACTGGCCTGGGTCTACAATGACATTGTCTGTCTATAACTGCTAATAATGGAATAATTCTGCATTAGTTTAGTGCTAATTACTCTTTTCCTAGTGAAAATGAGATTAATCCAGCTTTTTTGGCAGCTGGGGCTCTCGTACCTGGTCCGCTTCACAGTGGGGGAAGTTTTATGCCTGTCACGAGTCCCTGGAACGTACTGGGGATTGTCCTCGTTTTACTTAGCATCTAATTGTCTTTACTAATTCAATCTAACCGGACTATGGCATATGCTATAGAATTGTCGGAAAGTTTAAATTGCTTTCTTGGCGCGAGAGCAAAATGGGCACGACATTAAACCTGGAGGGAGCGATCCCGCGACCTGGTGGCCAGGACGCGATCGAGGATCTCGCGTCAATCGTGAGATCCTGCGGCAATCCCCGCGACGCGCTTGCGATCCACACGCGAATCCTCGCCAGCGAACAGCACCGCCAGAACGTTTACCTCGCGAATCTCCTGGTGGAGATGTACGGCAAGCTGGGCAGCCCCGTACGCGCGAGGGCCGTCTTCGATACCTTGAATCCCCCGAATATCTTCTCGTGGAATATCCTCGTCGCGGCATATGCCCAGAATGGGCATGTGGAGGAGGCCAAGCGTGTGTTCGATCTCACGCCACACAAGACGGTCGTCTCGTGGACGACCATGCTCCAGGCATATACCCGGCATGGACATCTCGAGCAGGCAAAGATCCTCTTTGATTCCATGCCCGATAGGAACGCCTTCTCGTGGACCATCATGATGGCCGCATATTCCGAGAGAGGGGATCTTCTTAACTCCAAGATTCTCTTTGACAAGATGCCGCGGAGGAACGTCGTCGCCTGGACTGCCATAGTCAAAGTCTACGCCGAGAACGAGCATATTCCCGAGGCCAAGGAGATGTACGATACAATGCCGCACAGGGACATGGTGTCGTACAACGTGATGCTCTCGGCATATGCCGGGACCGGGAATCTGGCTCAAACAGAGGATCTCTTTGAAAAGATGCCCGAGTATGACATAGTCTCATTTAACACGATGTTGGGAGCTTACGTGCACGAGGAGCGTTTCGCTCGGGCAAAGAGCCTGTTTGATCGGATGCTTTACAGAAACGTAGTGTCTTGGAACACACTGTTGCGAGGATTCGTCCAGGCGGGAGAGATTGAGCAAGCGGCCTGTGCCTACGAGAGAATGCCCGAGAGAACTGGAGTGACTTTCACGATTCTCATCGGAGCTTATGCCCTGCTCGGTTACATCAAGGAGTCAGAAAAGATCTTCGAGCAGATGCCTTACTTGGATACAGTCTCGTGCAATGCGATGCTGGTGGGCTTCGCTCAAAACTCTCGGCTGGAGCAAGCGCTGACGCTCTTCCACAGCACGACGATGTTGGAGCGAAACACCGCATCGTGGAACACCATCTTAGCAGCGCTCGCAAGCCATGGAAACCTGGAAGCAGCGAGAAACCACTTCAAGACCATGCCGGAGAAAGATATAGTTACCTGGACGGCGATGGTTGCCGCGCACTGTCACGCAGGTCACGGCCGAGAAGCGATCAAGATCTTCCGAGAGATGGAGCAGGAAGGATTCCGTCCAAACGAGTTCTCACTGTCCACTGTTCTAGCAGCTTGCAGCCGAGCCGGACTTCTCCACCAGGCCTGGCAGTACTTCGCCTCCATGAGCAGTGCCTACAACTTAAATCCTGCCGCTGAGCACTACAGTCCCATGATCGATCTTCTCGGTCGAGCGGGACAGCTCCAGGATGCTCATGACTTGTTCCATCAGATCCCGCCGCTGCCCTGCTCGTTAGCATTGGGTGGTCTTCTCGGTGCATGTAAACTTCACAACGATCTGGAAAGAGCAACACAAGCCGCTAGAGATCACTCCCAACTTGAGGAAATAGAAAAAGCTTTACCTTGAATCAGTGGTCACCTCCAACTGTCGTATACCTTTGAGTGCTCCACCATGGCGATAGGATGAATCTGAAACCTGGAAAACTGGCGGACGAGGATGACGAGGATGACGAGGATGTGGATGCTGGAGCCTCTTGATCATAGTCCGGTGGTTCTCTACTGGAAGCTTCACCTGGAAGTCGAGTCTCGTCCGCTTTCCAGGTGACGTCAAAGCTTGCTTGCTGTTGACCGGGGAATTTGCCAGTGACAATTTACGCTCTCTTCTTACCTTTTACATGAGATTCCAAGCTCGGAACCGTCCAGTTCCGAACAAAGAACGTCAAACGACGAACTTGAAGTACCTTAACCTCCCACATCAATGTTAGCAGCACTCTTTGCATCCAAAGCTATATGAATTTCCCATCAAAAAATGTTAATCACTGTCAAAAGGAAGAGAGCTGTCGCAAGTCATCTACCTGAACTACGTCGAAGATGGCCATGCCTCCTGGCTATCTTTCTGTGAGCCTCAGCAAAATCCACCCGGCTCCATAGATACAAAACCGGAGGGACATTGTTCTCCTGCTTTATCGTCTTTCCTTCAGCATCCACCGATCCAGGCAAGTAGAATGCCTGCACAAGGAAAACAAGACGGTTTATTTAGAAAGATAAAGAATAGCATACATACGTCCCCTCTCAGCAGATCCTTGTCTTCCCATGTCAATTCGTAGTAGCGTCCATCCGGTCTGCAACCGGTTATGAGCTTTACACATAAAAAAGAAAAGAAAAGTTCGCAGGACCTTCTTGTCTCTTCTGGTGCAATCAGCACTATAATCTTGGGTTGGAACTTCACGCAATGCTCCACAAACTTGCTGGCAAGTTGAGCCCTGAATCCAAAAGGAGGATTCAAACCCATAATCTGCATTCCACAATACACAATAGTATCAAGTGAATGTACAACACAACAGTATACTCACCAGTTTATCACTGGAACAAAGTTCTTCTGGTTGGATTTCCATGTAGTCTTTCCGCTCGAAATGGAACGTATCCTAAAACATGATGTCAGCATTGATCCAGCAGGGAAAAACATTACTCACACTCGGCTGTATAAAGTCGAAGTTTTTGAATCTGCAATCTTTCTTCATGGCCGTCAGCTTGTCAGACATTAGCCGTGAAAACTCGTTCGATCCACAGCAAAGGTCCACCACCTTTGAATCTGAACGAGTCGGCATAACAATACGAACAATTAAGAAAAAACGTACCATATCTCCTGGATTCACGTAATAGCTGAGCTGGTCGACAATCTACAAGCAGATAATATGTTAGAAAAGGTCTGCCTTGCTTTGTCCATCGAACTCACCGATTGTAACTTATAAGTACGCGTGAAATGCCGCCCAAAGGAACTATAGCGCATTCCAAACAGCATAGGCGACAAGTAAACTCGCAATGCGTCCTGAAATTTCCCACATTGGTCTTGATAATAACCATGGGTAATCTTACTCTGGCGCTCTCAAGCAGCTTCAAGTCCTTCGGCGAGAAGATGAGTTGAGCTTTCTCAATACTGCCGCCGCATTGGACGAACGTAGATGCCTTTTGAAAAGCCTACAAAAATCGAAAGTAAGCGGACAGCCAAGAGTTGACATGGAATCATCTACATTCAGCAACGAGTGTATCCTGTTCAAATGACGATTCCTGTTCGAATTTGGCCTGGCAGTGCTTGGAGCTGTCAATTGTGCGGTAATGCTTTCAAATGTCAGCTTGCAGCTCGACATAACCTTTGAAACACTGGAAAGAAGAAAACGCTAAGTGGAACGAAAGAGCAAATACTACTTACGTGTCTTCCACCTCCTTCTGGGAGAAGACGGCGGGCGTGTCAGAACGGAGAATGTTGTTTCCTTGTCGTTGCTCCAAAATTTGAACGCTTTTAGAGCTCTGCAGATTAATTGCAGCCTTGTTCCCACGCTCTTTCGATGGTATCTCCGGAAACTTTATGTGATCCCTTCTTGGTGTTCTCAAATCGGGCATCACTACGTGGTTCCTGAAACAAGTGAACTATAATCAATGTATTAAAACAAAAGAGAGCTTACATGCAATACAGAAATCTTGTTTGATTTATGAACCATCCCCTTCGATCCTCGTCGTCATCTGCAAAGCTTACACTGGCAACGCAGTTAAGGCAATGCGATTGTAACAACGGTTCGGCTTACCCAGAACAAGCTTCATGCCAGGCTCGTGGACAGCGCCTACACGGATACAGCCACAGCGATTCTTCTTCCTTTTCTCTCTGGTGGCACTTGAAGCAGTTGTGAAGAGGGCACGTAAATCCAGTTCTGGCAGCTGTGTCCCCCAATAACTTGGACACGCAAGGAAGATGGTAAAACTTCCCGCAGAGAGCAACGTCACACAAGAAAACCTGCACAGAAACATCGAATAAGAGTCCACTACTCAAACCAGAAAACATACCTCTTGTAAGGGACCGCTTGATGCTCCAAGTTTTCCACAAGCGAAGCACTGGTGCTGGTTGAGCTCGCAGTTCTTACAAAAGAACTTTGCCATGTGCTGGTAGCAAAGAAATAGAGTCCTGATAATGTCTAGTACCAACGACGAACCTTAACTTCTGCCTCTGACAGGCACAAGGTCTTGCAAGAGACGCCTTCTGTTTTGAATCCATGGAACGATCGTAGGCACGGACCATCACAGCTGCGTTACAAGGCACATGATTTCCGTATAATGCCTGAAAAATGGCTTACCATAGCAAATCACCACCATCATCGCATATGGCACAAACAGACTCCCCAACGCCGTCGTCGCCGTCCACCTCCTCCTCGGATTCATATCTCGGCCTCTTGCTAGAACTTCCTTCGTCATACGACCTCCTCCTCTTTCTCAGCAAGCTTTGGATATAGTCCGAAGCTCCCAGCTCCGTATCAAGAGTTACAAGTTTCCTCAAGACGTAAAGATTCTCCAACACCTCATCTTGAGTCGGAATGCTGTCATGGTAGCTGCAAACAGAAAATGGTACATGAATGCCCAAGAAAAGCGCTGCTGCAAGTACCTGTAGAGGGAACGCAAATGGTTCCAAATGGTTGTCTCGGAAGCATATAAATGCTTCCTCGCGAACTCCAGCAGACTAAGCAGAACAAAAACGCTTAGAAACTCCACTTCGTAAGCCTTTGCCTGCTTTCCCAGCTTGATCCTGGCAAAAATGAATGAAGTTTCCTCAGCTTCCTTACGAGAACGAAGGAAACTTGGAAACCATACCATCTTTTTTGCTCATTCCTCACGTAGATCTGTGCCCCTTCCGGACCAAACTCCACACTCCAGGCATTCACTGGCGTTCCCACTGGACGAAGGCCATCATCGGTCTTACCCCGGAGCCAGATCGTTTCTTGCAAGGAAGCTCCAGCACACTCGAGCGGTAGCTGGAACAAGGAAACGGGGTTAAATTCGTCCTGGAAGCAAAATTCTTCCACCGAATTGACAATGTCGTCATCGAGCACCCTGCGAGAGACGCGATCAAGCCCAGAGAAGCAAAGAACAAGGCCTACATTTCACGGGCGCTCTCCGCTTCCGTGAGGCTGGACTGGAGCTCCTCGATGCTCGATCTTCCGGCGTACGCCCCGCCCTCGCGCAGGCGAACGATCGTCGCGGGCGATGAGAAGCTGAGGAACCATCCCGCCGTGTCGGATCCAGCGGCGCCCAGCGTTCGCGCCATACCGGATCCGCGAAGAACTCCTTTATTAGAACCCTAAATATTTGTTCGCAAAGATCAGAGCTTTAGGGCATGGCTATGGCGATCCGAAGCGCCTGGCGATCGATCGCGCGCCTAAAGAACCCCATCAGCAGCAGGAGCAGGGCATTCTCGACGATCGACGAGGAGGAAAGGCGGCAGCTTGTCAACAGGTTCGATCGATTCCAATGCCAATTCTTCCTCATTTGCGCGTTCCTCACAGAAATTTCTCTATAGATTGCTCTACCGGAGCAAGCAGCGGGGATTCCTGGAGCTCGATCTGGTGCTGGGGAAATGGACGCAAGAAAACATCCATCAGCTGGACGACAAGCACTTGGAATCGTTGATCCAAGTCCTCGATCTGGTGAGATTTTGATCTATGTTCCATGGGGTTCTCAAATAGATCGATCTTCCAGGAAAACCCCGATCTATGGAAATGGCTCACAGGGCAAGCCGAGGTGCCAGAATCCATCACTGCTAATCCGGTATGGAGGAAGACGAGAGACGATGGGTGTTTGTCCTAAAGTTCTAGGATTGGAATTTCTTTCCAGGTGTTTGCGTGTATCCAGAAGCAAATCAGTGGCAACTTGGAGAACCATGCGGCCGTGGAGACTCGTGCCAAGCCCGGCCAGCCGTGGGTTCGTGGATGGGATGACTTCAAGAAGACAGGACCAAACAACGCTTTCCTTGGGAATCAGTAGAAGAGTTTCCATCCATTGTGTAAATTAATTACTCTTATTTAACTTAGTTACACTGCCAACAAGAAAAGGAAATATTTTTATTTTGTTAGTCTAAATAAAAAGAACAAATAGAGGAATTAAATAATTTAATGAAAATTATGTTAAAAGGCATTATGTAAGATTTATTTCCAAGATAAATGTTTAAAATTGTAATATCACAGGAATACACAATTTTTATTTACCATTTAACTAATATTATTGCTTTTATAATAGAAATATATATGTTTTATTAACCCAAAAACTCTAGCTTATATACAAGAGCAAGTGGTTTTAATTAAAACCAATTTTACAATTATTAAAATCTCACTATATTAATAATAATATACAGCATTGTAATTGTAAATTTGGATCTCATATTATCCCTTTTCCTTAGAAAGGACAAAAAAGACAGTTTGGGTTATTGTGTTGATAGACTCAAATTATCTTAGAGTTCTTATGTTGATGGACTAAGATCTAAAGGGACATTAAAAAGGACAACTACATGAAGTATTAATAAATTTATAGATAATGCAATTTAGTTGTAAGCTCTTGAATTTAAACTTCCCAAGAGGTAATTAAGTTCAAATATTATTCAAACTCTTAAGTATCCCAAAACCCTTAACCAATTGGAAAACAAGGTATTATAGCAAATATGACTATGTATATATTGAAAGTTACTTGTGTTGGCGAATCTTTTCATATATTCTTTCCTTACTGTCACGATAGTAGGACATCAGTTTGTTGGTTCTTTTTTCAACCCCTCTTAGTAAACTAGGCTAAGCATTTATACTTAATTATAAAAAGTGTCGCAAATGTGACTTCAGGTATTGAAAGTTGCTTGTCGGTTAGTCCTTACGGACACTCTTTCTTTACTGCCACAACGGCAGGAGGTTAGTACTGCTGGACCCTTTATCAATCCCTTTTGTTCAAGTGTTAGTAAACTGGGTTTAGCATCTGTATTTAACTAAATGGACATAAGGTAGGAACTCCTATGTGTTTCTAACTGAGCATACTTGGCTTGGCTGTTAATTCTTTTTTGCTCTATCTTGCACTAGCTTGACAAGAACTCTTGTATATTGAGATTAATCCCTCAATATCGCTGGATGATAGCTTACCATGTTTGCTAAATACCCTCGCTATCATGCCCTTTGTGTTAGTTTCATTTCGGTCCCAAATGCTATTTATAAAAAGTGTCTAGATTTACTCATTTGGCATATCTACTGAATGTAAAGATTGTCCTAAACACAATGGTGTTCATCCCATGTCCAATCTAAAGACATTCCATATTTAATAAATTTCACACTTGTCCCAAAGACTAACTCTTGATATTAAAGGAGGTTTAGGATGAAAGCCCAAAGCATGTGTTCCTCAAGGGGGGGGGGGTTCCAAATGTATAGTAAGGATAGTGGGTAGGTTGGGTATGGTTGACTAACCTAAGGCATAGTTTAGCTCCCGCTTGCATGCCTGTCTTTGTTTTGCGTTCGGCTTGGGTCTAAGCCCAAGCTCCACATCATACTAATTGGTGGAGTACCCATATCCTCGTGTTAGGCCACCGGTATGCTAAAATAGCACCAAACTTCGTTTAGCATTATTTTGCATGTTAGTTCTAGCATTGGGATGCTAGATGCTCTAGGACTGTTCCAAGTCACTCCATGCTCCTATCTCTTCGCTCTTTAGGATATATGCTCGAGAGTCGTTCCATGTCCCAGTGCCATTACTCCTTGGCTCCATGCTTGGGAGTTTGGTACCGTTTCTTCGTTCAGTGGATTAAGGCCCAGAAACTCGGGTTCCACACCATTGTCCTTTGGACACATGGCTTGTGACATATAGCATGCAACACGTGGCACATAGAGGGTTCTGCTTCGTGGTTATCCTATGGTAAATCACCATAGGATAAAGGGTAAAAACCACGTGTGCTACATTTGGTATCAGAAGATGAGTCTCGACAAGTACTATCCAATGAGATTGGGCAACTAGTCTCGTTGCATACGCAGGGATAAAAATGATGATCTGAGTGGGTACATATTTGGGTGTTAAGACTTCGCAATTGTTCCTTGGGTATGGATTTTTGTTACCTTGTTGTACCTTATGATGTGAGCTTGCTCTTGGGCTCATAGGATGGATTTGAGGTGTACCATTTTGCACGAGTTTTCGCTTGGGCTCGTGAGTGAGGCACATTAGCAACTCAAGGTTACACTTTGAGCTGGCAGGATTAATGTTAGCTTATCGGTGGTTCCATGAGTTGTTCCATATACTATGGGTGAAAGTAAACTTCCCCTAGGTTTGCTATGAGTGGCAAATAGGCTAGTCCATAGCTATTTAGCATGGCACTAGTGAATCCTTCCTAGGCATGATTACAAGTGAATCAACCAAGACTGTAGGGATTAATCTATTGGTTTACGTAGTCATTGCCGTGCTCTCTCATAAACTTTTCTTGGATTAGACTGAAGGCAGTGCAAAAGCAAGTTTGAAGTTTGGTCAAAGTAGAGACCAAAAAGAAAGTCATCAAGGACAAAGGATCAAACACATAAATCATTTCTCCTCTTGGAGAGATGATTTGCAACGAAGTGTGACTCATTGCTCGTGTTCACAATATGCAATCAAGAGTCCCTACCCTGATGTATGTTGGAAATGATAGTTTTGCAAATGGTGAGTCGTGGGATGGATAGCAGTGAAGCGCTAAACCATTTTGTCTAGGCTCGCTATTGGAAGACTTGGGTTATAATGCTCAATTCTTTTCCGGGAAACCTTGCTATTGCTCCTTGAGTAGTTTGGTGTTGGATTAGTTTTAAGTTTGGTCAAAAAAAGAGTGGTATGAGCTTGTTCGTGTTGTGAACAAAAGTTAGTGGTGTTAAGTGTTATAAATCTCTATCTGTGGGGTGTGGCATTTATGTTGCATTTTGTCGAGTCAAGTTGACACTTGATACTCACATAAACCTTTGTAGTAGTGACAATAGCATTGCTCATGGTGTTGCTCAATTGATGATCAAGTCATTGTGATTTTATATCATATCCATGTGATAATGAGCAATGTGTTTATGAAGTTACTTGGTTAAATAATGATCAACCCCAAAGTGGTTGATAGTGAAGCTAATCTACTTGCATATAGTAACATTGTAGTAGCTTTGACTGAATTCTCAATAATGATTTATGATGTGCTAAACTTATGTTAGTACCTTGTTTCCTTGAGGGTCTGCCTATTGAGGTGTTGGAAAAAGTTATAGCACTCACTTGCTGTAGCTTGTCGGTTGATCTATTAGCACTTGGAGTAGATTGTTAGATGGAGAAAGTGTGTAGTTGAGGCATTAACATCACTAACATTTGTGTTAGTGGAAGTGGGATTATTGATTCAAGTGATGAGGAGTTTTTCCTTGGAGCTTAATTTTTCATGTTATTTTTCTTGTTAGTGTTTGGGTTTCACATTATATCTTGAAGGTGATTGAAGAAGAGTGTTAGTCCAATATAGATATCCGAAAATGTGGTTTTCGTGATCAAACTTTAGATGTTCATTGCATTTTGCGGATGTCGGTGTTGGATATTGGAAATATAGGCAAGACGTTCAATGCTTAAGCATACTATGGGTCTTGAGAATTTGTGTTGAGGTGAACTTATGTGAAGTTGTTAGTAGAAGAAAGTTGGTTGAGTCTTGAAAGTTTGTATTTCTAGACAGAGAGTCATTCTTTTTCTAGGATGAAAAATTTTCCACAAATTTTCTTAAACTTTTCCAATGGCTGATTTATTGATCACTTTGCCCGAAAACCTTTCCATTTTCATAAGCCGATACAAACTAGTGAAGGGGTTAGAGTTGACTTCAGTTGGCTTAGATCTTAGTAGGTAGTTTGTATGATGCGCCTAAAAGGGATGTTGACTTTTGGGGCTAAAACAATTGTGTTAAATAGAGTTTGGAATTGGTGGAAAAAAGTGCCTGCTGTGCTTTTCTAAGAAGGGTGACATTTGTGCCTTTCTTTTATAGTGTTCTACTTGGTGGCAGGTTGCATCTTGCATTTCGTTATACTCTATGAAGGTAGTGAGTTTTCACTGATCTTGACTTAGTCTTGGTAGCTTTGCACCTTGGATAAGGATGGTGATGTCCAACTTAGTTGTTTGAAGTTGATATGTTAGTACCTATACTATAGCTTTGTTTATGAGGAGGTTGTGTACTGATATGAGTCCATCTTATAGTCTTCACCTTAATTTCGACTAAGTGTTGATCATGCATAGTTAGCCTTTTCAAGGCATGCTCAAAGCTATTAGCTAAACAAGTTGGTGATCTTATGTTAGGCACCAACTTTGACTACATGGTCAACATCGGTCAAAGGGAGGCTCAAGGGTATATTAAGGCATGTTAGGGTAAGGGACTTAACCTACCCTAGGGCGCGGCGTCGCAATGGAGCTTTTGAGGTAGCTCAAGGATGGTTGGGTGGTGAGGAACCTCAAGAGGTGGCGTAGCATAGTCTAGGGCGACTAGATCTCTGTTTTTTTGCGCCGGATCATAACATTGGTATGGCCGACCAAGCTGAACACTGGAATCCTATTGTCGATGGTGGTGCCGACGATGGTGCCGACGAAGACGCGGAGAATTGGACCATTCAAGATATGGTTCATGAGCTGCGAGCCCTTAATAAAAATTAGCAAGAGATGCAAGACGAAATGCATGGCATGATGGATACCATGCGTGGGCGTGTTGAAGCACTCGAGGCTGGACGGGGTAACGCTCCAAGTAAGCCTTCTTTGGTAGATCGACTCAAGATTTCAACTTTTTCCGGTGATGGTGGTGTGGACGAGTGTTTTGCTTGGCTAGCCAATGTGAAGAAGTTCTTGGCTACTAGAGGAACTCCAGATGCAGAAGCTTTAGTGGCTATTCCGATTGTTTTGCGTGATGCGGGTCTTCGATGGTGGAATTGGCTTGAGGAGTCCTGTGTTGCGGATAAGAAACCACTAGTGTCTACCATGGATGAATTTGAGGCTGCTTTTCGTTTACGTTTTGCCCCTCATTACGATGTGGAGAATGCTGTACGGAACTTCGACATTTCTAGCAAGGGAAAATGACGCTCGGGGACTA